AGAGAGAGAGAGAGAGAGAGAGAGAGAGAGAGAGAGAGAGAGAGAGAGAGAGAGAGAGAGAAGAAATAAACAGACAGACAAAACGAAATAGAAGAGAAAGAAAAAGAGAAGGAGAAGCGAATAGGTGAGAGACAGGAAACAAACCGAGAGTGTGGTGCGTGTTTTTATAGAAAGAGATGAAGAAAGAGTGTGGTGGCTGTTATTTGAAGGAGTGTGGTGGTTGTTATTTGAAGGAGGAGTGTTGTAGTTGGCAAGTAGTTGCTGTTATTTTAAGGAGGAGTGGTGGTGATTATTATGCGAAGGAAGAATGTTGTGGGTGTTGTTTGTTGGGAGAATGTGGTGTGTATTGTTTGAAGGAGGAGTGTGTGATGGGTGTTATTTGAAGGAGGTGTGGGGTGGGTGCTGTCTGTCTGTAGGGGGAGTGTTGTGATTGTTATTTAAAGGAGAAATGTGGTGGGTGTTCTTTGTGTTTGAAGGATTAGTGTGGTGATTATTATGTGCAAGAAGAATGTGGTGGATTTGTTTGAAGGAGGGGTATGTGGTGAGTGTTATTTGAAGGAGGAGTGTGTGGTGGGTGTTATTTGAAGGAGGGATGGGGTGGGTGCTATTTGAAGGAAGGCTCTGGCACCTAAACAATAGTGTTAATATTCTTGTAATACACAAGAATAAGTAATCCAGCAGTATCTAGAAAATGTACATATGATCGTGCGTGTGTATTCCACGTACTTTCCCCGTTTTCTTATCTTTGACTCTGAAATAGCTTCTATTAGTATTTACGGGGTTTGCTGGAGCAGTAATAGAGACATTTATATTCCAAGTATGCGCGGAATACGCCTTTGTGGCAGCTAATTATACCGGAACAGCCTGTGTTGGTTCTTGGCGTGATCTGAAGAAACTGTATTATCCGACTGTTTGTTTTATCGATATCCAGCGACTGTGGTTGGCTTGGTTAAAATGGTTGAATCAATGCGGTGTGTCAATTACACTTGGTCTTTCTAGAATTTTTTTTCCCTCTTGATACTCTAAACTGACATGATCTAATTGCTCCAAACCCCAACTTTATTTAAACAAAATCTACAGAAATAACGCAGATTTTGAGTATAGACGTTTGTTTTGGGGATTATCAATATAATTACAACCCCCCC